ACCTTTAGGTCTGAAAGAACGCGTTGCACTCCTTTTCTCTTAGACCAGTTTTGTCCCAAATAGGTTATCCAGCGAGGTTTTTAATGAGGCAACCATTGATCGTGCTAACTTAGAACAATTCAACAGTATCCGAGGCTTCTTTACAATCAACCTCGAATACTGGGGGGCATTGCCCTCTAATGTCAACTTTGATGCGAGGAAGTTACTTCATGGCAGCGGGGTCTCGATAGGAAAAGTTTGTAAGGGCCAAACGGTCAAACGAACCGTGCCTGCGTATTTTACTTGAGCCCTGGCACAAAACATCTACGCATGTATAATCATTTATAAAGAGAAGTATTTTTCTTTACCGATATCTCATGCCTTAGCAACTTTTTCTACTTTACAATTTCATACTCTCGATCTATTATGTAAACAGGCTTAAGGGCCGACCATAACCAGAGTTCGGATAATTACCCCCACGCTCGGGGACTGCCGTCCAAAAAATAAACGAGACCGAATTATTAAAACTCCGAGATCATAAGACCTTTTAGGCAACCCTAGATTTTTATAGGCCACGGCCACCCCACTCGGGGACTGGCACTTCGGGAAAGCTCAAAGTAAAATGGGAAAATAAGCCCAAGGGGAAAATCCCGAACTAAAGAGCCTACGACCGAATTAACACGGGTCAGAGACGTCCGAATTTCGTAACAAAATATGCCTTCGAATTCTTTCATAAACCGGTTAAAAAGGCTACCCTCGGCAAAATCATAAAAGGCTTCGATAATATCAAGCCTCGAAAACTCTAATGAGTATAAAATTGTTCGAACTCTCGAACAATTCCTTATTTCATACTAAGGCATTACAAGTTTTGCAAATACAAATGATAAAAAACTTTTTCAAGCCGAAAAGGGGAGAAAGCCATAAACAATCTTTTTACAAAAGCCTAAGGGCTATTTTTTGCTTTGAGTTCGAGAGACCATCCTCGCTCAAATAAAAACCTAAGGGTTACCTTACTTCGAGTTTTAGCAAGCACTCACTCGATCGTAAAGCCTAAGGGTTATACTAGTTCGGTTTCAATCAAATTGTCTAAACCTCGGACCTTAGAATACAACTTTATAATTTTATAAGGCAGAAAGGAAGAAAGTTTTTATATATATATGTCAAAAATCATTTACAAGGGCAGCATGGCCCGATCAAATTTCTCTACAAAAGATCGAAGCGGTCTTAAAAGAAACACAAAAAATACTAATCCTAAAGGACTTAGTCTTCTCTGGGAGCAGCATCTTCACCCTCGAGGCCTTCTTTGCTTTCAGATCTGCTCATACTCCCAGAATCATCATCATCAGGAAAAGCCAACACTCTCGCTTCAGCTTCAAGCTCCTTAGCATTCTTGATCTCGGCTGTAAGATCGAAGCCACGAGCATGAATCTCCTCGAGAGTCTTCCTTCGAGACTGGAATTTAGCATGCTCGACAACCCAGTTTTCTCGAGCCTAAGCAGCTTCGGCAATCTCCTTTGTTCGAACCTGAGCAGCTTCAACGTCGGGCCGGTAGACGGCCACCATTGAATCAGCATTTGCCTTGGCCATTTCGACCTCCGATTTGGCCGCTGCAAGTTCTGTGGCCAGCCTCTCTCGATCGGAAGTTGCTGAACCCAACCGAGACTGGAACTCCTTAATTTTCTTGGCTTGTACCAAGTCATTCTCTTTCAAGCTTCGGAGTTGGGTCCCAGCCGAGGCTAGTTGAGCTCGGGCAACCTCCTTTTTCTGAGGCAAGGCGGTCCATGTTCTTCTTCCATGCCTCGGCCTCTGCTTTCACTGCGTCCACTTCCCCACGAAGCTGCCCGATCACATCGAGCTTTCGCTGGACCTGTAGGATGGAACTGTTAGCCACCACGCCCCGAGTCAGTGTCATTAACTTCAAAGATTTGTTTTACCTGCTCGACCAGATTAGCTTGTTCTTTCTGAGCTGCTTCTAGCTCAGCCCGAAGTCCTTTTTCTTCCCCTTCTCTTTGCTTATTGTGAAGCTTGAAGGCATCTCTCTCCTTAGTAAGCCCTTGGATTTTGGCTTCGTACCGGCTCAGCTCCCCTCGGGATCGGAAGAAAGCCTCGTGATGAAGCACAAAAGCCTACAAAATAGAAAGAATGAATTATATAAGGGGAGAAAAGTACAAGTATGAAAATTGACAAAGAAAATATGAACTTACCCAGTTCAGGGCTTGTTGGGCTTAGTTGAAAAGACAAGGCGCTCCCACCCCGTCCGTCTGGGCTTGGTCTTCTTTCATGACCAAACATCGGAGGTAGCTAGCCACCCCTATGGGGGCAGCAAGAACCCGGGCATCCTCCGGGACTGTGATAACGATTGTTCGCTTACGCCCGGGATCGACACTAGGGGCCGGAATCTGATTGGTCAGTTTAAAACTCGAGGAAGCCTCGCCCGAGGTCTTCTTCATAGCCTCCAAGTCACTCAAACCGGTGACATCTTCTACCCCAACAAAATAACCATGGAAAGGATCTTCCTCTCTGTGGGCTCCCTCCCCGTGACAAGTCTCCACGGCCTGAGCGTCGCTTATCATCGACTCGAAAAATGAAGGAAACGAGGGGGAATCCCCAATCTCTATTTCCCCGAGTGGGTCTTTTTGGGCGTCGCCTCTATCTTGGGGAGCCTCAAGCCCGATTTCTGCACCGACATCCACCGCATTTTCAATGGTCTCTTCGCCCTGAGATAAAGCATCTTCGGTTCCTCTCGGCTTGGGGAATTGGGCCGAAGTCTACTCCTCGACCTCATCAAGCCTAGACGGAGTAGTATCAACTCCCACCGGTTCCAAAGTTCTCTGAATCTCGGTGCTAGCTCGCGCACGGGCCACCAGCCGGAATTATCTTCTTTCTCTTCTTCTTCTTCTTCTTCTTCTTCTTCTTCTTCCTCCCTTAGTCTTTGGACTAACTCCATAGTCAGTGGGATTGTGTTCCCCTTGGGTTTACGGGCTATTCTCTTCTTGGGTTTTTGACCCTCGGAGTTCGAGGCCCTTTTCCTCTTATTCTCCTTCGCCATTTTCGAGATAGGTGGTGAAACTTGTTCATCACCGGACGAGGTTCTCATAATCGCATCCTTTCCGAGACCTACAAAAGGAGAAAGTAAGTAAACTCATGTTTGAAAAGATGCTTGAACGATAGGGAAATCGGTAAGTCAGGAAGAAGGCTTACCATGAGTACGAGCCTCCCACCGGCCCTTTGACAAATCGCGCCATGTGCGCTCAGCGTATGTTGATATCGAAACCAGGCTCCTAACCCAGTTTCCGAGGTGGGGAACCGCACCCGGCATCCAAGCAACGACTGCATCGAGAAAAACACTGATAAGAAAGGGTGAAGAAGTAAATACAACGAACAGAAATTAAAGACGGAATCATACTTACGTTTCATATTCCATTTCTCAGGAAATGGCATGCTCTCAGTCGGGATTAGGTCCGTGGTCTTCACCCGAACGAACTGGCCCATCCAGCCCCGATCTTTGTCTTCATCTATACTCGAGATAAGCGCCTTAGTGGCCCGACGTTGAAGCTTTATAAGGCCACCTCGATAGAGTCGAGGGCTATATAATCTTATGAGGTGGTCAAGGGTGAAGGGAAGCCCGTCGATTTTGCTCACGAAGAAACGAAGCAGTATCTCGATCTCTACAAAGAAGGGTGAATTTGGCCGAGGGTCACCTGGTATTTCTTGTAGAAGTCTACGATGACTGTATCGAGGGGACCCAACGTGAAAGGATAAGTGTAAACACTCAGGAACCCTTCCACGTGGGTAGTGATCGCTTCTTCTGGTGCCGGTATCACAACCTCTTTATTTCCCAAGTTGTAATCTTTCTTCACCTGGTCAAGAAGGCTTTTGGATATTGAGCATATATATCTCGATACCGGCTCGCATCGACCAGGAACCGATGAGGGTTTCTCGACCTTAAAGTCGAAATCAATGACACACCCCCCAGGAATAAGTTCTTCAGGGCGTGGCTCCACCACTGGTTTTTTGCCGGCCGGCCGAGATGAGGAAGCAGCCTCTTTCTGCGGAACAGTTTTAGATGTTTTGGCCATTTGGTGTTTGTGGGTAAAGAAGAATGGAGATTGAAGTATTTGGTGTTTTAGGAAGAACAAGCAAAGAAACTCAAAAACCTGAAGATAGGAAGCTTTGGAGAAGGCAAAGAACTATGGAGATTGGAATGAAAAAGATTTGAAAGTAAAGTTTGAAATAATAAAGAATGGGGCTATTTATCGGTTTCACAACGACGGTTCAAAACTGGTAATGGCCGTCTGTTGACTGACTAGCATTAAATACCCGAAAAACTGTACCGACGAGACGTTTCTGTCACTCCTGCTGCTTATGTCACGACGATTATGTCATGATGTATCGAGGTGAAGATCGAAGGCTCAAATCGTTTCTTGTCATTACTCTCCAAAAAATGAGGGGACTATCTGTATAAAGTCAAAATCGGTATGGTTAATCGAGACCGAGAAGGATAAGTCGAATAACAGAAAGCCGAGGAATCTATGACCGGGCGAGTATTGTGACGGAGATCTCGGCATGTATCAAGTCAAGACCGGTTGATTAGCCAATTAGGAGATTTCCTTTTGTATTTAGAATTATACCATATGTAGAATTCCTCTACTATATAAAGGGGGTTCCAATCATTCTGTAAGGGGGACATTCATGCATAACAAAGCAATATATTATGTTTTCTCTCTTAAGCTCTCTTATTTAGTTGTTCAGTTCTTGCTTTTCAATAATATACTTAGTTGGTTCGATGGCGACCTAGCTCGAGGGTTAAAGTTGCGTGTTACATTGGTTTGCTTCATTTAATAGTTAATTTCTAATTTCAATTCTCATATTTCTCAGTTTGTGCCAAGTGAAATCACATATACTTAAAGCTACTTATAAATTTAATTATTATCCGATTTTTAGGTAAACACGTCTAGTCAAAAAAAAAATTGGGGCATTAAGAATTTATAGGTCGCATTATGAATAAGCGACTTATGTAAAGAGTGCCGCAGCACCCAGCAGAACAAAACACACAGCTCCACTCTCAGTTTGCGACTTTCTGCTGCTCAAAGGACGATGAGAAGTATACTCAGTAGCAAAATCAGCAATTTCTTGCGAAACCCTTTATTCTCTACACCTCTCCATCACCATCACCATCGGTTTCCAACAATACTGCAACCAAAACAAAGCCTTCACAATCTTTGTAATGGTTTGCAAAATGGTGTTCCTTTTAATAAACTCATCTCAGTTTCAGCTCTTCGGTACTTGAGCACTAATTCTTTAGAAGAAATAACCCCAGATAGAAATGAAAACGACCCACTTCACTGTAAGCTCTGTCGTTTCATTTTTTTGTGTTACTCTAATTCAGTTCCTCATTAGGTGTTTGATATTTTGTTTATGTGGTGGTTTATATTCTGGGTTCTCATTCTTAATGTTGAGGTGATTCGTGCTTATTATTTCAATGATGAAGATATCGTATATGTCTTTTTTATGACGGTGGTGTCAGCTTATGCACACCTGCATTATTTTACTGGGCACCTGCTACCTACTGCTAGCACAAGTAATGGATAACTCTGATTACTTAGACTTAGACAGATAGAAAGAATTCACCTATTGTTTTTTGGCTTGCTGGGATTTGAATCTAAAACCTCGTGATTTTGCTTCCACCTCATTGACCACTATGCCACACCCTTAGAGTTATATTGTTATGCTGGCGAAGCAACAAATGAAAATGTTGATGAGTGAGGCTGAATTCAGTGGTGGAGCTTGGAATTTATATAAGGAGTTTCGAGAAAACAATAGAATGTGACAGTTAAGATTTGAACTTGTGACCTAAAGCAATTTTTGGACCCCCTTCACTACTATACTAGAATTTTTCCTTATGTCAAGGGGATTCAATAGCTTATATATAACCAAAAACAAATTTTACCCTGTTTATGCGGTATAATTTGTCAACAAAGGGGATTCAGTTGAACCCCGTTCTCCCACCTGGTTCCGCCATTGAGATTGGCAGCAGTGGTAGTGTACCTCCACCAACAACTAGTAGATTGGAGGTTTGACTTGAAGTTAATTGGAAACATTATTCATCCTCCCTGGTGGGGCTAAAAGAATTGGCAGTGTTCATTTACTCTGAGAAATATAAGGATGTTCGCTCTTTAATTGTTTCTTATTCCGATTGAATTAAATTTAGTGAATTTTTGTCAAATTCGTCAATTTATATTCTCTCACACGGCCACACTTTGTGTGTTTATGTTTGAAGATGAAACGATTGCGGATGTAGAACCAATAGATTTATGGGAAGAAGAAGAAGAGGATGCTGAGCCTGAGGTATATGAACTTTTGGAGTTTTACGATTCAATATTTTTTTTTTATAATTTTTTTGTGTATATATGCTCAATTTGATTTTAGCAGTTCAAACGTTCAGATTGGTGATGGAGGTGATGGAGGGGGAATAGTTTTGCAAAATTGCCCTTGGGGTAAGCAGGCGTTATCCATTGCTCGTGATGTGCTGCTACAGTTCGGTGATGACATGGAGCTCTATGCATTCAAAACTAGTCCTCGCGGATACATCTATGTGAGATTAGACAAACTTCCAAATGAGTGAGTTGCTGCTTGCAGTACAGGCTTCTTGGCTATATCATGCACTCCTCTGCATTTTCAGAAATGAAGTAGAGCATGCGTTCCCTGAATTCTTTGTTGCATTTGGTTTTTAAAATTCTATTCTCCGGATTAATGTCACAATCAAGTCAACCCTCTGTCCCATTTTACTTAACGAAGTTTGAATGGTCACATAAAAGCGATATTGGTAAGTTTGACAAGTTAGTATTATGTCACTATTGAATTGTTAAACAAGTTCTTTTCGTTATAAAAGTGAGAATAGTGTAAAAGATTTTTGATTGTGAAAGCATGTCAAACATTTTGGTTGTTCCAAACTAAAATGCGTGTTATATAACTTGTGATGGATAAGTAATTGGACTAGACCTCTTAGTTATAGGTAGTTATGGGTCATGTATAACTATAGGTAGTTATAGGACCTCTTCCTTGCCTCAATTTCTTCCTCATTTTCCTTTCTATCCATAGCTTCGTGCAGATAGGACTTCATAAACGGAAAGTTGAGTGCATACTTCTAATAGTTTTCACTTGGTTATTGCACGTGAATTCTTTTGATATCTGTTCCTGGTGGTAGTGTTAGTGTGTAACGTACTCTTTACATCAGATATGGCTGTCCAAGTATGGATGAGATGGAAGAATTTAGCCGCCAATACAAGAAAAAGTTAGACGAAGCTGGTGCACTAGGGAAAATTCCTGATGATCTCGCCCTTGAGGTAACTGTTAAAACTGTAGTTGTCTTCTTTTTCTGTAAAAAAATTGATAATGGCTTGGGAGTATTGATCTTTGAAATAAACACTNAACTGTAGCTGTCTTCTCTTTCTGTAAAAAATTGACAATGGCCATGGGAGTATTGATCTTTGAAATAAACATTAGCTCTTTCCTGTGATCCTAAGGTATCATCTCCTGGTGCTGAGAGGCTACTAAAAGTACCAGATGACTTATCCCGCTTCAAGGACATGCCTATGAGAGTTAGCTATATCGAAGAAATGAACTCGAGAAACCTTGAAAAGGACGGAATATTCTTCTTAGAATCAGTTGATGCAGAATTAGGAAGCTGTATGTGGAAGTTGGCGGATGTTAAGGAGAATAGAGATCCAGCGGCCAAAGGAAGGCCTCTAAGCCGTAAACAGAAAGATTGGAGGTTAAAACTGCCTTATGCAATGGTTAAGAGGGTAACTTTGTACCTTGATTATTGAATTATGTTTAATTGTTGTAGGACTCAAGATGTTGATGTATATGCTGTTGCTTTATACACACTAAAGATTTTGACATAAATTTATGACAGTTCCTTTGGGTTAAGATTTTGACACACTTCTCTATTATTTTTTTTTGGCAAGTTACATATTTGGCAGGTAAGCCAAAAATAGTTACATTCCCTAACCAAATATATAAAAAAAAATATGTAAATTATATATTAATATACACAAAATATATATTTTGTCGGTTATTATTTTGGCGGCGGCTATACTATGTAGTTTTCCCTTCTTTTTTTTTTCTTATTTCCTTATTATTGCTTTACTATTCTTATTTTTAGTAATGCTTGTATTTATCACAAGAAAAATTATGAGAGATCCCGAAAATTAAAGGGATTTCTACATAAATAGCCGGCAATTTTATTGTTTACTTTTTCTAGTCATATACATAGTTTATACATTGATTATACATAATTATACACATATAATGCATAAATTATGCATATATTATACCCCCCACTAGCTATTTTTAGTTTAAATAATTAGATGAACGGCTATTTGGGTTAATTCTTCAAAATTAAACTTCACATTGTGTAACTTGTCTCAAATGTTTGACCTTTTCAGTTCTCCCTTCCATGTTCCCGTAAAACTAGTAAGTTTTAGAGAACTGCATAATTTTAGCTGCTCTTAAAAATAATAGCTGGTATTTTTGTTGTTGTTGCATATATATGTATTATATACATAATATATATAATACTTTTTAACTAGCAAATACAATTAGTTTCAGCCGACCGACCGACCAATTTTATATTTTGTCCTAGACTTGTACTAGCTCTACTAAATAGTGTATTGGGCCTAATGATTTAAAGGCTAAATTTGGCCCATGGATGATATGTTTAGACCAAAGAGGAAAAAACATACAGATAAAACAAAAAATCAAAATCAAAGAAAGAGGAAATGTCCATATTTAGAAAGTAGGTATATTAGCTAAGGACTAATAGCCTTTGGCCAAGTTTCTTACCATGCCAAAAGTGCTTTTTTCCTCAATTTGAGGTGTTTAGCCAAGTTTTTTCTTGAAAAAAAAGTTCTTTTGGCTAGAAGCATAAGCCGTTTTGAAGAAGTAGAAAAAAATAGTTTCTCTCCAGAAGCAGAAGCAGTTTTGACTTTTTTTCCTACCAAAAATACCCTTTGCAAAATATTATATATACCAAAATAGCCTTACTTAATTTTAACTATTAAGTAATATAAAATGACTTTTGGGATTAACTTTCATATTTATTGGATGATTTTTTGATATATTTAAATTATCTTGAAAGAATAAATTACTTTTCAATTTTATTTTTTTATTTTACTTAAATAAAATAAAAAACTTACTTATTATCTTTAATAATAAATATTTATAATTATTTATCTATTTATATAATATTAACTATTAAGCAACTCTCTTCATGTCCTTATTTGTAATTTGACACATAAAAGTACTTTTTTGAAAAGTTTAGCCAAACACAAATTATTATTCAAAAGTATTTTTCAAATTGATTAGCCAAACACAAATTGCTTTTCTCCAAAAGTACTTTTTTGAAAAGCACTTTTGAAAAAAACACTTCTCAAAATAAGCTGATTTTTCGCCAAACAGACTATATAAGTAGCTAAAGAACAGTAGAATATTGGTCCACAAGCCAACAAGTTATTTATTCTCAATCCTTTCAAATGAAATAGACCTTTCCTTTATTAGGTACCCAACCTATCACTCTAATTTAAAGAAAAGTTCTAAGTTATATATGCGTCTTAAATGTACAAATTCTTTTACACTATCAAAACACTTAACCTGATATGATAGGTAATTTCCCTTTTTTTTTAAATTACGAACTCACTTTTTATGGAGATTTAAGTTACAGTAAAGTGATTATAACTTTATTTTATGTCAGCATTGATATTCCGTCAAAAGAATCTTCTCACCCTATTCACATGCCTTTTCCAAAAAAATTGAAGAAAAAAAATATTTTAAAAAAAGGGAAAAAAGATTATGAAGAGAACCAGAACTAAAGTGGACCACATAATTTGGATTGTTGAGCCGCATTTGATTCAAAATATCTCACAAATGCTCAACCACCAATACCTTTCATTTCTTGGACTTGTCTACCATTTCATTCAGTTCTTTTCTTACTTATCTTTCTATTTTGGCAGTCAATTTCTTTCGTATATTTCACAAATGACAAAAACGTGAATATCATGAAAAAGAAAAAGAAAATATATGGACCAAAAGACTTTGGTTAATCCTAAATGAAATAAATACAATAAAACGTGAAGTTTCATCGATTATGCGAGTCCAAAATTTGAAGGTGACTAGGCACATGAGCGACCTGTTTAACTAATAGTCTCGTCGGACTTTTGATTTTTAAGTGTTTCAAGTAAAATATATGACCGCTTTCAATATATATATATATATATATATATATATATACACTTGTATATTTAGAATTATTGCCGAAATTAATCATAAGTCCACCTCTGACAACAAGTTGACGATGAAAATAGGAAAATAAATCAAATTTAGGTATCTTTAATGTAAGGATTATAGTTGCCGAATCACCGATTGATACAAGGCCTAGAAATTTTGGGCTTGAATTCGAACTTTAGGAATGGAATTTTTTTAGTAAAAAATATTTACTTTTTTAATGAACTTATCTGAGACGAATTCGAATTAGTCGGGCCAATAAGTTTCAAATACCAAATAATTAAAAAAAAATGAAATGAAAGGACAACAATGGATTAGATAGAAAAAATCTAAAAGAGGACAATCATGTTTGCCTAAGTTAAAGAAAAAAAACATCTATTGAAAGGGGACCCTACGATTGATAGAGTTCCCAAATCCAAGTGAAAAACCACTACACGTAATGCCTTATTCTTCATTGGTTGTAACAAAGGAAAGTAATGCTTATTTTTGTAAAATCAAAATCGGAAACTTTGATTAATACTTATCTCTGCAAAATGTTCAACCTAAAAATAGCAGAAATTTTACTTGGCATTTTGTGGGGTTTTCAAATAAGGATTGAAATCTTTTATAATTTTGGGTTCTTTTAACTTCTTGATTTGGCATTTCACTAGTTCTTTCTAAATGTAGTAATCTTTTATAATCCAATATTCACTCTCTTGGCATTATATTCCATTATGTCTAAGTACCACTCTAATAATACTCCCTCTGTCTCAAATTATCTATCGTAATTTCTAAAAATATTTGTCTCAAATTATTTTTTATTTTATAACTTCAAGACAAACTTAATTATTTTTTTCTATTTTATCCTTAGTAGTAATTATTCTTGAAGACTACAAACACGTCAATTGTGGAATGTGATCACCTAATTTTTGACTATATTTGAATTTTTATCACCTTCTACTATGTAAATATTTTTAAAAATTTAATATATATTTTTTAGCTTTGTTACATTTTTTTATATAGGGTAAAAATTTATAATAATTTAAAAGGTCAATTATTATTATTAATATTATTTTTATATTTTAATTTTAAAATAAAATGAATTTAAAAACAGAAAAAAACAAGTTAAATATTTTTTTTAAATTTCGGATGGGAATTAAAAAAATAGGAAAAGTAGAAATATAGAATTAAAAAATAAAAGTAAAAGTAGGTGAAAATTATTTAATAAAAAGTAAAATAAAGTGGAATTAAAAGAAAAGTAGAAGTAAAAGTAGGTGGAAATTGTTTAATAAAAAAAAAGTAAAAGAAAGTGGAAAATTAAAAAACAAAGTAAAAGAATGTGAAAATTAATGAAAAGGAAAAGAAAGTTGGAATTAAAAAATAAAAGTAAAGGTAGCTGAAATTTTTTAAGAAAAAGTAAAAGTAAGTGAAAATTAAAAAAAGAAAAATAAAATAATTGGGAAATAAAAAAAGTAAAGTAAAATGGAAAATTAAAAAATAAAAGTAAAGGAAAGTGGAGAATTATTTTTTTTAAAAAAGAAGAAAAATAGGAAGTGGGAATTCTTTTTAATTAAAAAATAATAAATTAATAAAATAAAAAACAAATCTGAAAAATTTCGAATTTTTTTTTATAAATATAAGAGAAATGTGAAGAGAAAGAGAAGGGGAGAGAAAGGAAAAAAAGAGAGGGGAGAGATTTAGAGAGAAATGATTTTACTTCTTCTACGCTAAGGAAAATTCTATTCGTGTCATTCTTTTTTCGTCTTTCTTTCGAAAAAACCAGCAGCTTCACCACCCCAAAGCCACCAGCCCTTAACCACTTTTGAGACATCATTAACCCGAAAAAAAGCTCCAAAAATAGCCACCAAATCGTCGGTTTTGCAAAGTCGATTGAGGTTGCAAGTTGAGATTTTTCGCTCGAGTTTTCTGCGGTCCGAAGTGTCCAGTTGAGAGTTATCCGATCATTGAGTGGTTGTAATTTAAATCCACAATCATCGATACAAAGGTTCACTTCTCTTTCTATTTTATTTTCTCATTAATGTTCTGGGTCACTCTGTTTTAATTTAATTTTGAGTATGATATGGTCGAGTTTGCATCCGAGTGTGCTAAGATTAATTTGTTCTCATGTTGAGTATTTGTTAAGATTAATTCATCAATAAAGCATGTTAATTAGCATGCTTTAGTTTCATTTTGATCTCCTATCTTAGTGACTAAATTGGTTTTGCCCGTATCTATCTATTCCTACCATAAATTTAGTTTAGTTTCAAATATTAGTTAGCAGTAAAATTATAAGAGGTTAGGTTGGAACATGATTGGTGTAAGACTTTAATTGGACTTTCCCAACGTATTTATGAGATAATTATTGCCTAGTACCAAAAATAAATAAACATTCACAAGCTAGCCAACTTTTTCATAATTAATTTACTTTATTTTCTCCACAACAATATCCATACCTCATGACCTTACAATAATCTCAAAATTAGTAATTGAATAATATTCGATTATTGTAGCTTGCTTTAGGCGGGATTAATAATAAATCATTGTGATTGTGGGTACGGTTCCCGTGACATAGTCATGATACGTAAACCTCAATTCAAGTGCGCATTTCACACGACTTGACCATAACTTCAAATAATAATAAAATAAACATGTTGTAAATCGCGGGTGCG